GGCCATCCAGTCTGCGTACGAGACCTCGCGCGGGTGCAAGCGTCTCGTGCGGTTCCACGTGCTCGCCGTGGGGATAGTGTGGTGCTGCAGCAGGGCCAGATGCCGCGACGCGAACTCGGTCTGTAGAGCCCCCCGGAGCTGCCCTGATGTGAAGACGGAGGTGTTGATGCCATCGGCAACAAAGCGGGGGATATTGTTGCGCCATGTGATTTCCCAGTGGCCCTCGCTGTCCTGTCGGACGGACTCGATCGCGATGTCGACGGGAATCTCGCCGGTGGCAAAATTCTTGTTGCCAGACGAGGGGCTTGTGCTTTGTGGGCATCGGTCGCGCAGCCAGCCAGCAGGCACCTCGGTCGGAGATAGGTCCGGGCCTTCGATCGTCAGCAGGGCTGCGTCCGCCGCAGAAACACGGCAGACAACGGCAGCAGCTGACTGTCGAGGGGCCGCTTTGCGTCGCTTCAACGATGCGGGCACGAGGGGCGGGCTCGAGGCAGACGTAGCCGTTTTCGGGACACTGCCGGTGGCCTCGCCTTGCCGGAATCGCGAGCTCGTGTGGAATGACGTTGCAAGGGCAGGACATTTGACGCATCGAGGGGTCGGTGGTGTTCGAGTGATCAGGCCATCTGTGTGCCGAGCGGCAGCTCCTTGGACGGCGCGCAGCGCTCGCGAACGTGCGAACATGGCGTGTTTCTTCGAAGTAAAGGTACAAGAAAGACGGTCAAAATGGCACGGCCGCGAAACAGAAGATCATGAGAAACGGGCAAAGGAAAAAGGCGACGACTAAGAAGCCCCAGCTCAACCGACAAGCCGAGGAACATGTGCGATGGAAGCCGGGAGAGCTCCACGGTCGGAGCTCCACAGAGGGGTAGATCGATCGTCGAGAGCTTGGACCTAGACCTGATAGAGGCATAGTCTATCTATATGGGTTATATGTAACTATGCTTACTTGAGTACATGCTTCCCACGCACTCATCATGCGAGTGATACATACCCCTTGTTCCTCTTCACAGTATACCGTCATTTGTCATGAAGAGGCTGTTCCGGTCATTTAGATAGAGTCTCTTCTAGTCGTTCTCATAGAACCTCTTCCATTCATTCTCTTAGAGTCTCCCCAAAACGCATTCTACCCCTGGATCTCGCCCCAGATCCAATCACTCAACGTCTCGTTCGTTCCAATCCAGCTCTTCAAGCACGCCTCCTTCTCCAAGATGAGGTCCGCCACGAGCCGTCCAAACACGACGGTGCCCCAGTCATTGAGATGCGTGTTGTCGCCCTCCTTGAGGTTCCACTCGTCATGAGACCGCTGCTCGCCCACCGCCTCCACGAGCGCTTTGCTGTTCTTGTAGAGGTCGATGAACTGCGTCCTCGTCTCCTCCGCCGCCGCCATGGTCCTCACCCTCTCGTTCCTCAGGCTGTCGTCCGTCACGGCGCCCTTGAAGTTCCGCCGCGAGAGCGGCGTCACGAGGATGGGCGTCGCGCCGAGCCCTTTGATCTCGCCGGCCAGCGCGCCGAGTTTCTCTTGGTACAGGTCGAGCGTGATGTTCTTGGCCGGCTTCTGGTCGTTGTGCCCGAACTGGATCGTGACGTACACGTCAAAGTCGGCCGCGTGCTCGCGCACCGCCGTCGTGACGAGGTCCCAGTGGCCGCCCGAGACAAAGTCGACCGTCGTGCGCCCGTTGCGCCCGTAGTTGGCGCCCGTCGCCGGCGGCACGAGGAAGGAGAGGAAGCCGTTGCCCCAGCCGCCGCCGCCCTCGGACTGCACCGCTGTCGTCGAGTCGCCGGCGAGGAAGAAGGCCGCGGGCTTGGTGGAGCAGACTTTGGGGCACGAGGGCGCCGCCGCCGCGAGAACGGGCAGGAGGGCTGCTGCCGCCGAGAGGGAGGCCTTCATGATGACGATGGGGTGCGTCGGGGCGGTTTGATGAGCGATGCGAGAAGGGCTGCTGTTCAACGAGAGCATCGCTGCTCGATGACTGCAGCGACCGCTGGCTTAAATACGCCCTCGCCATCTCGGGGTAATGCGCGCGTGTCTCGACGAGCGCGCAACCCCATCGTCGAGGTAAACTGTCGATAGAGATCGCCCAAATGCCGTGGACGCTCGCATCGCGGATGGGATCAATTTCTCCGTCAATGGCGAGTGGCCGATGGCCGCTACTGCAGCGCCCTGAACCTGGTAATGTGGCTGCTTGCCGGAGCTAACAACGCGATTTTGCCTGTTCGAGCGTCCGGCTCGCGATGACTTCCTTCAATCGGACCAGCGGAACATGCCCATGATGATCCACCGTAACGCGGGGTTGGTGTGGGGTACTTGTGGAAAAACAAGCATACCTATTTCGCCGTCTTTCACAGAGCCCTGGGAGAGTTCACAGCAAATTGTGACAGTGCGCCTTGTTTGGTTCAAGTTGATACAATATTCAGACATTTCCTGATTTGCCTTGTTCGCCTGGCCGGTACCAAAAGGCTCTCTGGTTTACATGGGTGTTCGTCCACGGAGTACATGGTGGTTTTTCAGTCGCCCAAACTTGCACCGCATCATCTATTGCGATTGCTCGACCACCGCCTGACCATGACCTCCCGGATCTTGTACAACTTGAGCGCCGCCGCAGGACCCTGCTCGAAGGCCTTGTCGAAAATCGGCGGTGGCGGCACGTCGACGTAGACCAGCACAAGGCTCTTGTGCACGTGGGCGAGGACACGCACCACGCCATGCAGCCAATGCCATGTCTTTTGTGGCACTGGATGCTTGTTGTCCTTCCACCACGCGTGTGAATAAGAAGGCAAGATGATGACGCCAAATTCAGCGTGATCGAAGACAGGGCCCTTGGCATACAGCATCCAGTCCATGCCAAATTTGATGCCTGGCCGTGGGACCCAACCGAGCGACCGGAAATGATGGTATACCGCGTAGTTGAGCAGGAAACTGTCGTCGGGTAGCAGTGCTGTCGGCGGCAGAGGCGGGAAGACGGCGTTTTGGCGGAAGAGCGTCAATAGGGAGGACGTGTCGATTGGCGTCTTCGTTTGGAGATCCAAGACCTTGAGAGTGCCCAGACCGAAGCTCAGGAAGAGCGCTTCCTCGCCCGTCAGCTGGAGGTGTTCCTTATTCAGGATCTCCTCTGTCGCCTCCGGCATCTCGGGAACAGCTTTGTGTCGTAGAGAACCATTGGGCCATACCGCGTCACGTTTAGCGCCGTGTGGTGATCCATTGGTTGTCTTGTCACATATCGAGGCATGGCTTGGACTGGGAGGGTCTGAGTGCTCGAACGTAGCCGATTCGACGCGGGGCGAGAACCGCACACTCTTGCGACGTTTGACCATCTTGCCCTCGTCGGGCGCATTGTCATCGGGTGACGTCGCGTGGCCGTTGAGGTCCTCTCCTGTGGTAGGTATTGACGAGCCGTTCACTGCGTGTCCGTTTGCGGACTGTTGGTGCGGCGGGGTGTCAAGTGAGCTTTCACTGTCATCAGGTATCAGGTCTGCAGCTGCAGCAATGGCCTCTGCGGGAAGAACGGGGTGCTCAACAGCAAGAGGAACATCGAGAGACGAGTTGGGGAGCGACAAGAGCTCCAGCGGCCCAGTCGGCGGAGCCTGCACGGCAGCAATCACGGCTGGAACTTCGGGCTGGGGCACGGATAAAGTGCCCGCAGAGCTGCCATGTGCGATCGCGAGCCGAGCTTCTTCCAGTCGGACTTGGCGGATGGCGTCTTGCTCTGCCCTCGCTCTTTCCCACTTCATCTTGATACGCTCCTCTCTTCTACTCGTGGTCAATTCCTCGCTAACATGCGTCTGCACGAGGCCGCGGCGGACCTTTTCTCGCTTGAGCCAGTTGGGCTCGCTTCGGCTGAGGTTGCCTTTCCCGTAAAAGCCCTGTTCCCACAAAGCTCGGATGGCCTTATCATCGTAGACATGAACGGAACCCGATTCGGGTGACCAGACGGCTTCCCATATTACTGAGGGCTCAATTGGGGGCGGGGAAAGCACCTGGCTCGCCCACGCCCAGGCCAACTGGAGGAGAGATACGGGGTTGTTCGGGTAGAACGAGGGCAGTGGAAAGGTCCTGATCGGAGCCGGCAGGGCGTAGATCTGATGCAACGGGGTCGTCTTGGGCCGCTGGGGCCGCGGTTCTGCTTGCGCAGGAGACGCTGTAGAGGACTTGACGCCATTGGCGGCAGGCTGAGGTGCCGGGGACTGAGCTTCAGCCATGGCTATCTCGCTTCATCTCTGTTCTTTGTGATCGTTAGCTTTGCTATCCTTGATGCGATTCCCAAGTCGCTGAGGGAGAAGTAAGCCATGGACAAGCAGATCATATGCATCAGATACCGTTGTAGTCTATATTGTTTTGCCTCAGCGAGGCCAATGAAGGACACTCTAAGCACAATAAAAAAAAGGTGTCATCATCGTAAGATCTGGCCGAGGCGCACGACTTCGCGCGCCAGACCGCGTGCCGCCAGGCTTCAAAACCCTGAAAACAAAACGTCATGACTTACTCAATTGAGGGAAACTGGCCCCATGGGTGTTATGGGCAATGAGTTAGTGCAGACATTCGAGGACCGAGCCCGATATCTGATGCCTAAGTACGGGTTGATGGGAGAAGGAAGAGCCAGGAAGGAAATGGCGAGGTCTTCGCAGATTTTGGAGTCGGCTTTTCTAGGTCCCCACAGCGAGGCTGGCAAATCACAGGTGCCCTAATGGGTCGAGCTTCCAGCGGGGTCGATCCAGGGCGGAAAAATACGGCTCGCCGATCTCTGCTGTAACTACCTACCTAAGGTACCTAGGCAAGGTACGATGAGCATTTTTGACCTTGGCCAGAAAGACAGGGCGGCGGTCTGTCATCTCGCCAAGTGGGGCACCCATTTCGCAGGTCCTCACACGAACACCATCAGCCGTCCATTTCGCGTGAGAGTTTCGCATCGTATCTGATGCTACGTACTCCTTGTTCCTCGCCATGTGCAACCGTTGCGTTGCCCCTCTCCAGAGTCGGTGACGTGGCAGATATTGACGACTAATGACTTAAACGACTGCATGAATGGCGTTTCCCTGAAATCGATCGCCTTGCCCCCCAGATCTCATCCAGCACAACACCATGCTCGACCTTTCGCTTCTCGTTCAGGGAGCTGCGTACCTGGCGGGAACATGGAGCGTCTTCATCTTTCTGGTCCAGTGCATTGGTAATACGAGGATGTACGTGAGAGCTCAGTTCACCAAGTCTTTCCTGTCCTCATACCCCATTGACACGAGAATAGCTTCACAAAGTACGCCTCCCGGCCTCGTCCAGCTGTATCCTCGAACCTACCCTCGGCAGATGTGCCACACATCACGATCATCCGTCCTGTCAAGGGCCTAGAAACCGAGCTCTATCAGTGCATCGCCTCCACATTTCGACTCGACTACCCGCGCGACAAACTGACCATCCACCTGTGCGTCGCCGACAAGTCCGACCCTGCCTACGCTGTCCTCGTCCAGCTTGTACGAGACTTCCCTGGCTTCGACGCCCGAGTTCTTGTCGAGAAGGAAGACCCTCTGCTCCATGGTTCTGACGGCCACGTCAATAATCTGGGTCCAAACCCCAAGATCCGGAACATCAGCCGGGGCTATCGTGAGGCGAAAGGAGACCTCGTCTGGATAATCGACTGCAACATCTGGGTTGGGCGGGGTGTGGCAGGGCGCATGGCGGACAAGCTGCTGGGCCTGCAACATGACGGGAGTCGCGCGACGCCCTACAAGTTTGTCCACCTGCTGCCCTTGGTCGTGGATATCATGGGGCTCTGGGACCGTACTTCCGAGTCGCAAGCCCTTCTACCTGCTTCCTCGGAAACTGGTACTTTCTCTGATTCGGCAAAAGTCAAGCGCGATCAGTCTCTTCTCCCGCAAATCCAACACTACGGCGGCGGTCGCTTGGACGAAATGTTCATGGCGACCACCCACGCCAAATTCTACAGTGCCATCAATACGGTCGGCGTCGCACCCTGCGTCGTCGGCAAGTCCAACATGTTCCGCAAGTCCCACCTCGACATGCTTACGGACCCCTCGCGGAATCCCGACCTGCCCACCGACAAGAGCCACCCAACCGGCATCGACTACTTCTCGGATTACATCTGTGAGGACCACCTCATCGGTGATCTTCTCTGGCGATCAAAGCTGCCCGGACTTCGCAACCATGGTCTTGTCTTTGGAGACATTGCGATTCAGCCCATGGCCGACATGTCGGTGCAGGCCTACATTGCACGCCGAGTCAGATGGCTTCGCGCGAGGAAGTGGACCGTCATCGCCGCCACCATCGTGGAGCCTGGTGTCGAGTCACTTTTGTGCTGCTCCTACTCTTCCTTTGCTATCACCACCATTCCCTGGTTCAGCCAGACGTTCGGCATCCCTCAGACGTGGAGTGCCATGGGACTCGCATGGCTCGCATCGGTTACCCTCTGGATGATCGGAGACTGGCTCGCCTACAACAAGCTGCATGCTGGAAAGACGGTTGAGGTTGACGAAAACACGCCCAGGTTTGCGAGGGGCACCGGCAGTCCCGGCGGGGGCACCGCGCCGACCGTTCCACGAGTGGCTACCCGCGTGGATAGGGCGCGAGCTTCTCGCCTTGCCAATCTGGACCTGGGCCGTGCTGCTTGGGACGACCGTGGTGTGGCGGGGTCGGACTTTCAATGTGCGCATGGACATGAGCGTGGAAGAGGTCGGAGACGAATCCATCAGCACACATGGTTCGTCCACCGGCGTGAATGCGCAGACAGAAAATGCTCGTTCTCGAAGCAAGAATAGACTAGATTAGATGTTTAAGACTACACCAGTATCAAGAAGCTCGATGGCATTCCGTCACTTGTCCACATGTCGTGGGCGCTTGCTCCATTCGAGTGCGCCTTGGTGTTGACATTGCATCACGTCACATCCGGAATCGCCCCAGATCGCCGCATCAAAAATGCCTTACGAATACTCAAACTCGCTACATGCCGTGGCTGACTTGTACCATACATAACACATGGTCTATACATTTCTATCGTTATCTACAATGAATCTAAACATCTCCAATCCTACTGCATAACTATAGGGGGATGTAAGTGCCGTTGCGGCAGTCGATGCCCAGATTGGGATTCAGCTCCGCAGTGGCTTTCATGCAGATGACACTGGGCGCCGTCATATCTTGTGGATAGATGCGCATGTTGTCAAACTCGAAGCCCTGGCACGAATCATCCTCGTTACACTCGACAATGATTGCCTCGTTGTGCTTGAGATTCGGGAGGCCAACGTTATACCAGCAAGGCTTGAGAGATGGTTGGTTAGTGACAAGAGCCATGCCAAGTTTATGGAGGGGCCACGTACGTTGGAGGCGCAGGAGCCGTCGCCCGGATTGTAGCTGTTGATCGAGCCGGCCCAGTTGTCCCACTTGAAGTTGCGCATCTGCACGGACGAGTTGTTCGGGCGGTTCGCGGACGCCTTGCCCTGATCGCTGTAGGTCTGGGTGATGAAGATAGGGAACGTAACGTTGTAGAGGCGGATGTTCGACCACGAGACGTCCTTCACGAGGCCCTGGGGAGGGTTGGTCAGTATCGTACTGGACGCGCGCAAAACGGTCTTTCTGCTTCACGTACCTGGCCGCCGACCCACGATTTGAAACGCGCGGCGTACAGGCCTCCGGCGACGGTGATGTCGTCGAATCGAATGTTGGACACGGTGTAGAATTTCTTGGCGTCGGAACCAAGGGAGCCGATGCTCATGCCGTGGGTCTGGTATCCAATGATACTGCGCTCGACAACGACGTTCTTCGCGCCGTCGCTGATGGCGAAGGCGTCGTCGCCGTTGTAGATGACGCAGTCCGTGACGTGAACATCAGTGGCGCCGATGCCCACGCCGTCCGTGTTAAAGGGGAAACTCCAGTCCTCGGAGACAGAATCAACGACGGCATTCGCGATGCTGATGTTGGATCCCTTGACGGCAAGATTCCAGGCGACGGGCTTGGACGACTTGAAGTAGTTCATGACACCGTTGGTGGCTTTGAAAGCCATAAGATGCGGACGGTTCGGGAGACCGGTGCCGCCGGCCTTCGCGTTGGCAGACCACCATGCCTGGCCGTAGCTGTAGATCCAGCCATGTGAGATCTGAGGACATCGTCAGTTGGTATGTATCACTAGCGTTCGATTGCAATTCGACGCACATCTGAGTTGCCGATGTACTGTATGTCGGTACCCGCAAAGTCGAACCAGTGGCCGTTGCCTCCTGCGACGATCTTCTGCACGGCGGAGATATCCTGGGGCAGATGCAGATTGCCTTGAACCGAAAGGATCACGTTGGTGAGGTTCAGGGCCGCAATGGGCTCGAAGACGTTGTAGTTGGACCCCTCCTCGAACAAAATCAACGAGTCCCTGTTGCAACGATCAAGAACCTCTTGGATGGCTGCCGAGTCCGATAAAGTGCCCCCAGAAGCGGGGACCACGCACTGCTTGCGGCACGCTGCTGAAGCAGTACCCACAAGGAGGACGAGGCTGAGGGATCGGAGAGAAACCATGGTGACGAACGAAGGAGATCAAGGCGAGAATCTGTTGAGTCTGCTGGCTACGTGCCTGCTCCGTGCCACCCCAATGAGCTTCTTAAGTATGTTTAAGCATCTCGCCTTACCCCAAAATCTACCCCCAGGCTTCGCTCCAGACGAAGCATCCCGGAGGCTAATTACACCACGGGGCCGGTTCGTCAAGGGGTAACCACCTCTCAAAAGGAGACCTGTATGGACGGAAAAAGATGCGCCGCAGCCTTCACTCGACTAGCGACCGGACCACATCGTCAGGATATCCACTCCAAATATTACGGTCAGTCAAGATACAGGCCCGGATGGAAGAGGCTGCTGAACCGCGTTGTCATCTCCAGGCTTCGGTTAGTGTGCCGTCTTGGCGCGGCAGCTTTGGGCCGAACGTGGGCCGCGCCAGGGTCGTTCCCGGGGGGGTAGCGTTGCTGCCAACCTCTCAGATCGCGGGGTGCCAAGTAATTTCGGAGTGTGCTTTACTGCACCCCTGCCTTGTACCCGACTTGGATAGTAGCCTACGCAAGCCCGCACGGCCGCTGGGTTTCAGCGAGATTCCGAAGCGTGATCGTGGTCTTTTTACCTTCTTGCAACGGGCCGCTAATGCAGAAGTTTCTTTTAACACACTTTGTTTGCTTTTATTAAGGTACAGCGCTCGCTCTGTAGATGAATGGATTGTCACCAATTTGCGCAAGGTTCTCGGCAACGTTGATTCCCGTATGATATAGAGCGCGATTCGGCGTGCGCTAGTATAAACAACCTCCAACTGCTCAATGCCTAGAAAGCTTGCCATTCCTCCCACCAAGCTGTGGTTAGAAATATTTTGCAAGGCGAATTACTTGCGTTCGCCTGCTAAGTGTGGGCAGCTGGCTGACCTGCCCAATTTGAGCAAGCTGTAGTAAGGATCAACCATGTCTTTTCGACAATGCCATGTTCATGTCATACGGTCATGTATAACGTGGTGATGTGACGTGGCATGGGAATGAGTACCAGTCAACGTTGACAGAGTCCGACGGCGACCTCTTCCGCACGTGCCGAGCTGTGACCTCAGCTGACTGGTTTTGCAAACCGCAATAGTGATGTTCGGTATGAGTGAACAAAAAACGGGTTGGTTTTGGAGAGGTGTAAATATTTGAAGGAACTTGGATAAGGGTTCTGCATTCTACACACTTAAGAGGATGTTCAAGGGGTACAACTCGCCTGGCAGTAGAGAACACCCAGAACTCAGGAAGGGGCTAACTCAAAGGCCGATATATCTTGGTCTATATTAGTGTCGCGCCTTTGCTGTTGTAGTTGTCCCAACTCTCTCGAGTCCGAATTTCGTCTCTGGTACATAATCCAAAACATTCTTCATAATCGTATGGGCTCATGTTGCTCAAGCATTCCTTACTCGAGATACCTGCTCGATACCTGCTCGATACCTGTGGATGGAAACGGAGCAAAAGAGGAATAAAATAGTTTTTGAGCATTGTCGTTGCAAGAATGTGAGAAGGAAACGGTTAAACGGTCGCGACTGTCATCCTATCTTCGCACTGCCCATTCATTATGCCCAAAACTCAGAGGCGCGGCGGAACCTCCGAGTTCTCCCTCAGAGAGGTCCGCAAGGCTTTCATGCGAGCAGCCGCAATCATCATCGATTTGGGAAATTCATCACCAAGTGTCTCATCCAGAAGCATTTGCGCAATCATCTCTCCCGCCCTCCACGCCTTGACCATGCCCACACCGTGAAAGCCACCACAGACCCACTGACGATGGCGTGAGGGAAACACTGTTGTTAGGGGTCCGACAAACGGCAAAGCATCTTGTGTGAAACCCGAGTATTCCAGACCAAGAATCAGTGATGTGCGCCGATGAGCCTTCCACAGCTGAAGAGACAACCCTGATCACCGAAACCGCGTAGGTGCGCCATGGGAAGTAGATCAGTCTGGCTGTCGTCCCCGGTGGCCCTTCGACCCATGTTGGCACGTCCGACGACAATGCCCCCATCTTGACGCTGGATAAGATAGTCGTAGTCTTTGTCTGCGTAGCGTAGCCAGAAAGAATACTTGCTGTCAAGGCCCAGAGCAGATTTCGCGTTGACCGAAGCGTCTTCTTTCGATGCGACAGAGCCGTAATGCACCACGTTTCCTCGGACAGGTGAAATATACGGACGCAATTCAGGCAACAAATGACCAAGCCAGCCGTTTGTAGCATGTACCACGGCTTTTGCACGTATATCGCCTCTGCTTGTACGAACAGTGGCGAATGGACTTCCGGGCCGGTCGTCGATCGAGAGGACGGGTGTGCCCGTTTGTATATTGACTTTGTCGAAACTGACCAGAGTTGCTAAGAGGTTGGTGACCATTTTATATGGCCACACCGAAGCTGCGGGAGTGGTGATGGCGCCAACACAACGAGCGGAAAGCTTCATCTCCCCTTGCAGCACTGTGGTGTCTGTGCATATCTTGTACTTGTCCGCAAGATTGGGGGCATGCAATCTCATATCTTGAAGCGCGGCTACGGCTTTTGCAAAGACCGTTTCATCGTAGTACGCGTCCACACCCTGTACGGGCACGAAGTCACACTCGAGTGAATTGGCGTGAACGATATGAGCCATGACGTCGAGGTGGCTCTGTTCAAAAGCCGTCATTTTAATCGCTTCTTCCAGTCCAAGCCTTTGCTTGCGATGATCCCAGACGGCATACGTCATGGTCTTGATGTGTCCTCCATTTCGGGCTGTCGCACCGGAGCAAAGGCTACGCGCATCGATAAGAGTGATGTTGATATCTGGGCGTCTCGACAACAAATTGTGGGCAATACTGGCGCCCGATATACCGGAGCCAATTATAACAACATCGACAATTGATTGAGGCCAAGCAGACTTGTGGTCCGACAAGGGGTGTAGCTCGGAGTGCCAGAAGGGCTGGGTGGAGTTGGCGACGGGCAATCCAGGGTCAACGACGCCTGGTTCGTAAACACCTTCGGGTGAGCCGGACATCTTGAGACAGATAATCACGGCACGGAATGTCTAAATGGCTGGAAGGAATATCAGGAGTGTTGCAACGATGAAGAAAAAAACTGCCTTATGTACCCCTCAACAATGCTGTGTTGTGCGCCTGACGCGTGATGGCCCACCAGAAGCCCGGGCCGGTACAATACGTTTGGGCCTCCGCCGGATACTGGCATGTTGGCATCACATGGCGAGGCGCTTTGCATTTGATCACGGATCAAAGAAGACCATGGAGGAGATAGATGGAGATCTAGAATAGTGATTTTCCTGTTTTTCAAGAGAAGACGAAGATATTTGCTGGCCAAATTGAAGCGATGTATTCAACGCGTTTGTCATCCCTTCGCTATGACATGATCATGATCACTCGCCCGGCTGGTCACCGGCTACTTGACCAAGCTGGGAAAGGCAGGAGGCCCACCCCCGCAGTTGGGTGAGGTAGTATCGCAATAGAGAATGGTGCAGTTCCTGAGACCCCTACTCTAGTACCTCTAAATTGTGAGGACAGCTTGACACGTGGAATGAGATCCAGTATATTGGACTACCAGGTGGCATCGTTGCACGTGCCCCTGTTTCCCCTACAGCTTAATCTTAGTGTCTAATTCGGTGACCGACGGGCATACTGGAAAGCAGGGACGCTTGTTGTTTCGATCCCTGTAGAATTTGCCCCCAGACCATGGAATAACTACCCACCTTGTTGAGTTCAATCTCCCCTCGACTTATCTGTAGCTCAATTGTTGGAAACGGATCAATAAGGTCCATCTACATGAGTTAAAGTAGCGACAGGGGTTGAAAGTGAAACAAAAACTGATCAAATGACCCAATACACATTACGAACCAAATCCTACTTGGCGATAGGCGCTTTCATCAGAGATGTATCGGATGGCGGCCCACCGAACTTGACCCAGAGGTCCTGAGGTCGATACCAGGCTACATGCTCCTTTTGCAGAAGCTGGTCGACAGCTTCACTTTGGCGCTGTCTGGTCAGGGTCAGTGCCTTTTCCGCGAGCTGCAATAGTCGGGGTGGATCTGGATCTAGATCATCAAAGACCGTGACACTTTCTGACCCTTCCTCAGCATCGGTATACAAAGCTAGATCCTCGTCTACTTCTGGAATTTTGAGCACATTCTGCGCGCTCAACTGGGATTCCTCCAGTTTCTTGTTTGGTGCTTGATCAACAAAGATATGATCGAACAACACTTCCGCAATCTTTCCTCCCTCTCGTGGGTTACGGCTTCGTAACAGCGTCGCAAGATCAAGAATAACCCACAGGAAAGACCGCGTGAAGTTCTGCCGTTCGATTCCGTAGAACAACTGTTCCAACTGAAGAATGGCTTTTGATATATAGCCACGATCTGCCAGCAGCCAAGCTTTGAGATGGAAGCATGACAGTGCCTGTCGAAGCTGTTCTCAGAGCACCCTCTTGTTCAATTTGCTCAAGAA